TCCTTCTCTGGTCACGAAGTTTCCAAAACTACCACGGGGCGGCTACTCGGTGGGAGGCAGCATTAAGCGGGTGGGAAAACTCGGGTGGTTTTTCAAACTGGATTGGAAAACAAATAAATAAATAAAAAACCTCCGCAGGTTTATAAAGACACATGAGAAAAGACACACTGGCTGAATTCACTCAGTGTAGCTAGTCCTCAGTTTACGACGAGCCCAACATTTCCCCTGGCTTCCCCCTTGACGCTGCCTGTCATGCAAAAGGGGATCACGTGAGCTTGGGACGCTGCAACCGTCACAGATATGAGTCAGTTGCCGAGCGGCCGAATTTTGATCACGTAACCATGTCTGCATCGGTCGTAAGTGTGAAAAACACTCGTTAAGTCCCTTTTTTCAGTGCACTGTAAATTTGAACGGTCACTAAATGAACCGTTGTTAAGTCAAGGACTTCCTTGTATACAATTTGCTTATGGAATTAATCGGGTTCTTGATAGCCTGCATGATGCAGCCCTCAATGAAGCTAATAACCCTTTTTCAAATGTGTACGTGTTAAGTGCCTCTGGGAAAACAAACCAGGGTTAAAACTAACCAGGTTAGTTTCAGGGATGCGCAAATAAACCAAAGGCAATGTCCAAAATGGTGTTTGGAAGGGATGAAAGCAAAGATCATTTCCAGGGGCAGAGAAACCTGGATTAATTTAAGGAACGGCGTCGTGATAAACACGGCTTTGCTCCATTCCTTTTCTTTATTCTGATTGACGACTTTAATTTCTTCAGTTTAGTATTTATTTATTTTTTCCTTGGGGTTATAAGGGGAAGTGGCATCAGGTAACTCGTGATGCTACCAGGCAGATGACTCTCTGTGGCATAAATTACACAATCTACATAATTCATTATCTTATGACATGGGTGATATGATAGCCGCTGGGCGGTAGGCCTCTGTCTGAATTCTGAATAAAGATGCTTATTCTGAAAGGGAACAGCAAGATGGGTATCGGTGTGTATGTGTGGAAAAATACACCTACACACAGACAATAAGCATTTTGTTTGAATGCAGCCACCTCCCTCATGCCTTTAAAACCGGTGTGTGTGTGTGTGTGTGTGTGTGTGTGTGTGTGTGTGTGTGTGTGTGTGTCTGAACTTGGCCATTTTAAGACTTGTGGACTTCAATTCCCAGAATTCCTCAGCTACTGGCTGAGGAATTGTGGGAATCGAAGTCCATAAGTCTTAAAATGGCCAAGTTCGGAGACCTCAGCTTTAAGACTTTCCCCGCCAAAGTAGAGTTTGCAGAGAGAATGTCAAACAAGGAAAAGGCTTTGATTGCATTTGTGGTGGCCATCTTGACTTTTTTGACCTCTGTGCCCATAGGAAAGCTGTCCAGTATTTCACAGAGTTAGCCCTGCTGATCAGAGGGTCCTTTTCATCAAACAACTACAAAAATAGATCATAATAAGAGCCAGTGGTTGGGTTGACCTGTTATGTTTAACCATCATGTATCAAATAAACCTCAATTGGTTGGATCTGCATTAAATCATGATTCACCCAACATACTGCAAAGGCCAATGAATTCTGTGTTGGCTTGATTCGTCTCATTAATCAGATTCTCTTCCTAATAGAGCCAGCTATTAAGACAGCCTCACTCACCCGGGTGGAAGAGATACTCCAGATGCTTACCCTTGGGCTAAAATTCCCATAATCCACAGCCAAGGGAGCTGTAGTCCAAAAGAGATACACTAAGTTTGGAAGGGCTGATCTACGGAGCTGTGCTCCATAATGGCTGGTGAGGTTTTGCACTAAAGCAGTGTTTATCAAACTTGGCTACTTTAAGAAGTGTGGACTTCACTTCCCACAATTCCCCAGCTAACAAAGCTCGCTGGGGAATGCTGGGAGTTGAAGTCCACACAGCTTACAGCCACCCACTTAAAAAAAAAAAAAAACAGGGCTGAAGGGAAGACTCAGTAGGTCCTCTAGTGGCCAGGAATGGAATTAACCATGAGAGCTGAATTTAAACCAGGGTCTTCAAACTTGGCTCTTTTATGACTTGTGGACTTCAACTCCCAGAATTCCTCAGCCAAGCACACCTGGAGGAGAAATTCTGGGAGTTAAAGTCCACAAGTCATAAAAGGGCCAGCTTTGAAGACCCAATTTCAACCATATCCTCTGCACACATCCTTACCTGTTGAACCTTTGAAGAACAGAGTTGGAAGGGACCTTGGAGGTCATCTAGTCTAACCCCCAGTCTCTGTTCCTAGACAAACCATAGAAACCTCTATTTGTTTAGTCATGCATTTTGGAATCCACCCTGCTTCCTTTGATCCACCCAATCTGCTAAGTCAAAGATAATTGTTTAATAATTCAACTAATCAAGGAGAAAAGCAACCCTGGAATGAAGAAATTTCCCAACAGTGAGAACAATTAACCGGTGGAACACCCTGCCACCAGAAGTTGTGGGGGCTCCATGAATGGAGGTTTTTAAGAAGAGACTGGACAGCCATTTGTCTGAAATGGTATAGGGTTTCCTGCCTGAGCAGGGGGTTGGACTAGATGACCCCCAAGATCCCTTCCAGCTCTATTCTGATTGACTGATTGAATTCCCCAGCCAGCATGCTTATCCACCCATCTTAAAAGTTTTCAAACCCTGCCCAACCTCATAATCCAGGATTAGGAAAATGCGACGCCAAGCTGAAATCCTGCTGACAGCGGAGGAACTCTTGTGCTCAAGAGACATTCCAATCTGCTGATTATCAGTTTATGGATTTCCATCACTGTCCAAAGATCTGAGACAAGGAAGATATAGTTAAAACTAAACTTTTGGCTTTGGGCTCTTTAGGGACATTTTGCAAAGGGCAAAATGATGAACAGAGGCTTCCTCCAGCATTGTTTCACCCTTTACGTCGATCCTCACCTAGCTAAACCCTAAAATGTCTTTCCATTACAAAGCTTGGTGGACGTTCTAGGCCAGGGCTCTTCCAACTTGGCCCTTTTATGACTGGTGGACTCCAACTCCCAGAATTCCTCAGTCAGGCACGCTGGCCGAGGAATTCTGGGAGTTGGAAGTCCACAAGTCATAAAAGGACCAAGTTTGAAGACCCCTATCTTTAGCTTGCCCCAAAATAGGGGCTAAAAGAGGTGCCCCTCCCTCACTACTGTGATTTTTCATTTTTGACTGAGGAGATAGAGTGGACCAAGGAAATCCAGGTCAAATTCTAAAAATGCATTACAGATAGTCCTCGGTTTACAAAAGTCTGTTTAGCAACCAAATTAACATCACTAAAAAAAATTGACTTAGGACAGTGATGGCAAACCTTTTAGAGACTGAGTGCCCAAACTGCAACCCAAAACCCACTTATGCATCGTCGGGTGCCGGGTGAGTGTGGTCCATTAGGTGGACGTGGCCCATTGGCTGGGCGTGGCTGCAGTGCTAACGGTAGAGTGGGTGGGACTAAAAAGTTCAATCAATCAATTCCAACTTTGCAAGATCTTTTTTTTTCCCCGCGAGTTGAAATTGACTGATTGATTGAACCTTTTTTTCTTCCACATGGCGATGGAGGCCTAAAGCGAAAAAGTTTTATAAAACCCAGCTGAAGGCCTAGGACTGGGACGACGGCGCACGTCGCCCACAGAGAGGGCTCTGAGTGCCGCCTCTGGCACCCGTGCCATAGGTTCGCCACCACTGACTTAGGCCCATCGCAGCAACCCCATGCTCACGTGATTTACATTTGGATTTTTGACAACTGGTTCATATTTGTGACCGTTGCTGTGTCTCCGTGTCATGTGATCCCCTTCTGCGACAATGAGATTGTTAAGCAAATTAGTAACTCGGTGGTTAAGTGAATCCCGCTTCCCCCGTCGACTTTGCATGTCAGAGAGTTGACGGGGGAAGTTGGATTCACTTAACAACCGAGTTACTAATTTGCTTAACAACCTAATTCGGGGGCTCAATGGTGGTTGCTAAGTAGAGGACTGTCTGTATTAAGCAAACTAAGGAGAAGGTTCTAGAAGGGCAATGAATGGCTTGCTTTAGGAACAGTCTGGATTTTAAAAAAAAAAATTCACAGGATGTTGAAACGAGAATAGAGTCCCTCAGTAATAAAGATGAATTTTTCTGTGCTGATAATCTCACAGTGATTTATACTTGGCTGATCGAGATCTGGGTGTTCATGCTTATCTTAGAGCTGAACAGCAATTTCCAGGCTCTAAAATAATATATCCAACTATTCATAATTGACTAATGATACGCTGGAAAAATATAATTTCCATGGCAAATCCCTTGCTAATTTTTATATACTGATGCATCTTGTTGACAAAATCATAAGACAAACAGAGAAGGGAGGGGGTGAGGGGTAGAGGGGGGTGAGGGAGGGAAGTAAGCAAGAGGGAAGGAAGAAGGAAGGAAACAGGGAGGGGTGAAGGAAGAAAAGGAGGGAGAGAAGGAAAGGGAAAGAGGTAAAGGAAAGAAACGGAGGAAGGAAAGAGGAAGGAAGGAAGAAAACAAAGAGGGAGGGAGAAGGAAAGAGAGAGAAGGAAGGAATAGAAAGCTAAGGAAGGATGGAGGGAGAGAAGGAAGAAGGAAGGAAACAGAGTAGGGAGGGAAGGAAGGAAAGAGGGAGAGAGAAGAAAGGAATGAAACGGAGTGAGGAAAGAAAGAAGGAAAGAAACAGGGAAGAAGGGGAGAGGGAGGGAGAGAAGGAGGGAAGGAAAGAAACAGGATGGGAAGGAAGAAAAGAGGGGCAGAGGGAGGGAGAAAAGAAGGGAAGAAAGGAATAGATGAAGGTAGAGAGATAGGGAGGGAGGGAAACAAGGAGAAAAACAGAGGGAAGAAGGAATGAAGGAAAGAGGGACAGAGGGAGGGAAAGAACAGACAAAGAAGAGAGGGAGGGAAGAAAGGAAAGAAACAGGAAGGAAGAAAAGAAAGGAAGAAGGAAGGAAATGGAGGTAGGAAAGAAACAGGGAGGAAAGAATAGATGAAAGGAGGGAAGGAAGGACAACATCAGTGGACCATCCTTTTTCAGCACAACCCAGCCTTTAATCTCTTGCATTGGCTACACAGTGTTTTATTCATATTATTCAGGGTGGCCCAAGAAGGCCGTTGGCTCTGTTTAATGGCAGCACACTGAAGACGTCCAGAGAAGTCGGTACAAAAAAAAGAAAGTGATGGGAGAGTCGCGGCCTGCGCTTCACAGCTGTCCGGCGGTGGCAGCTACTTCTCGGTAAAAGCGTCCGGCCAGGTCCGGCATCTCCTCCTCCAGCTGCCGGACAAACTCGTTGCGTTCGGCCTCCGACCAGCCCCGGAACCACTGGTCCCAGAGGCGCATCTGGCACTCGTAGATGGACGGCGGTTTTCCGGGCCCAACGTTGAGCCCGGCCAGGCTCTCAAGCAGGGGAAGCAGCTTCCAAGGGACGGCCTTGTCTACCAGGTCTCGGAGGAAGCGCTCCCGTTGGGCAGGAGTCCAGCCGGACAACCAGTGCAGGAGGCAGCGCATCTCTTGGGCCGTCACGTAGGACAAGGGCAGCGGCTCCGACATCCTGCACGGAGCGGCAGAGAGAAAACAGGGTGGGGTTACAGGGAGTCCTCGACTTACGACCGCCACATTTCTGTCATAAAGTGAGTTTTGTGAGATGAATTTGCTTTGGGAATTTTGTGAGGTGAATTTAGAGATTTTGTGAGGTGAATTTGCTTGGGAATTTTGTGAGGTGAATTTGAGAATTTTGTGAGGTGAATTTGAGAATTTTGTGAGGTGGATTTGGGAATTTTGTGAGGTGGATTTGGGAATTTTGTGAAGTGAATTTGGGAATTTTGTGAAGTGAATTTGAGAATTTTGTGAGGTGAATTTGGGAATTTTGTGAGGTGAATTTGAGAATTTTGTGACATGAATTTGGGAATTTTGTGACATGAATTTATTTGGGAATTTTGTGAGGTGAATTTGTTTGGGAATTTGTGTTATGTGAGTTTTGCCCCGTTTTACCACCTTGCTTGCCTTGGTTGTTAAAAGGGAATCCCTGAGGTTAACAAGTTAGTCACCCAGTCGTTAAGTAGATCTGGCTCCCCCCTCCATTGACTTTTGCTCGTCAGGTCACAAAAAGAGGATCGCATGATCTCAGGACACAGCGATGGTCACAGATATGAACCGGTTATCATTAACTGTGAAAAACAGTCATAAGCAACGTTTTTCAGCGCCACTGTAACTTTGAACGGTCAGCAAACCAAGTGTTGTAAGTCGAGGACGGTCTTGTGTGGTTTGGTGGGGCTTTTGAACCGCAGGCTTGAAGGAAGAGGATTTGAACCCAGGGCCGGGTTCAAAAGGGACTTTGTGGCGGCTCAAAGCTAAGCAAAGTCCGATCTGGTTCACACCTAGAGGGGAGAGTCCTGGTAATTCCTCAGCTGGAAACCGGATTCGAAAGCCAAAATCTTTCTTGCCATCGTTAAGTGTAAACCCAAGATGTTTGCCGCAGTTGGCCCTCAACTTATGTTTGAATGGTTGCTAAGTAACTGGTTGCAAGTCGAGGACTACCTGTATGATGCTCACGGCTTCTCTGTCCTGAATTTGCTCAGACTCAGAAAACAAGTTTTAATGACATTCCAAAACAAGGGACAAGCTTTTTCTGCCCCCTCCTTCCTTCCTCTCTTCCTTTCCCTTTCCTTGCTTCCTCTCCCCTCCCTTCTTTTCCCTTCCTTCCAGTTTCCCCTTCCCCCTTCCTTCCTTCTCTCCCTTCTTCCTTTCTTTCCTTGCTTCCTCTCCCCTCCCCCTTCCTTCCCTTTCCTTCCTTTCCCTTTCTTCTCCCCTTCCTCCCTTCTTTCCTCTCCTCCCCTTCCCTTCCTTTTCCTTCCACTTTTCCCTTTCCTTGCTTCCTCTCCCCTCCACCCTTTCTTTCCTCCCCTTCTCCTTTCTCTTCCTCTCCCCTTCCTTCCTCTTCCTTTCCCTTTCCTCTCCCCTTCCTCCCTTCTTTCCTTTCCTCCCCTCCCCTCTTTTCCCTTTCCTTGCTTCCTCTCCCCTCCGCCCTTCCCTTCTTCTTTCCTCTCCTTCCTTCCTCTCCTTTCCCTTTCCTTGCTTTCTCTCCCCTCCCCCCTTCTTTCCTCTCTTCCTCCCCCCTCCCTTCCCTTTTTTCCTTTCCTTCCTTCCTCTTCCCTCCCTTGGCTTCAATGCTGGGAATCTTAAAGCCGTCTGGAAGCACCGGGGAGGCTTCCTTTAAACGGGGAAGTTACGTGGCTATCAGATCCACAAGGACCCCAACAAGCCAGCTTGAACAGAACTGAGGTCGTGCAAATCCTGCACAAACCCGCTTTGCTTCCGGGTGCGCGCAAGGCAGAATCCCAGGCAAGGAGAACAGCCACCCCCCCCCCCGCCCTGGGTCTCGCCCACCGTTGGAATGCAGCCCCCGAGACACGTGTCCAGGGTTCACTCGGCACGATGGGAGTTGTAGTCCACCAACCCAGCAGGGCGAGCGCGGCTTCTGCAATGGCAACAAATCCCTTTCCCGAGCGGCCAGTCCCTGGAGCCGAAGACAAGCCTGCATTCCATTCTCACCTGTTTTGGCTCAGATCCCGGTTTGTCCCATGGCTGCGAAAGAAACTCTTGGCGTTTTCGTCCGCTCCGCCTTCGGCAGGAGGAAGAGCCTCAAGGCGGGGCGACGGAAATCGGCGAACTCGTCCGGAAATACCCGAAGCCGAACTCGGCCGCCAGGCTGTGGAACGAAGGCGCTTTCCTCGCGCTCGGCGGAAGTTGCCGAAAGTTTCCGTGAGGGCTCGAAGATCTCCGGAAGTTCCCGAGTCTTTCTCAGAACTTACTTCCAAGTTGGGACGGCTCCTCGAAAGACCCGGAAATGCCCGAAGTAGCCCGGAAAGAGTCGCCGACCTAAGCGGCGCCTTCGCCCCTCCCTCCTCCCCTTTCCCCATAGGGGTTCCGAACGCCGAACGGAAGTCTCCGAAAACAAACTACTCTCGGCGAAGAGCGGTCGGACGTTCACGAGACGGCCCGAGCGCGGGGTCGGAGGTCACCTCCGAGCGCCGAGGCCGCCTCCGGAAGTTCCCGAACGCCTCCGAAGCTCCTGGGAGGGCAGGCAGCAGCGCCACACAAGATGGCGGACGGGGAGGAGGTTACTCTGGACGGGAGGCCGCTTCAGGCGTTGAGGGTCGCCGACCTGAAGGAGGCTTTGGAGCAGCGGGGCCTGTCTAAGAGCGGGGCGAAGAACACGTTGATTAAGCGCCTCCGTGGGGTGAGGAAAAAGGGCCCGGCGGGAACGGGGCCCGGGGGCCCGGGTTGCTTCGCGCATGCGTAAACCAAGACGGGCAGGTTTTTTTTTTTGGGCTTCTAAGCAACGCGGGCCCCTGGCCCTGGGGTACCGCCGCTACTAAGCATGCGCGGGGCAATATCCCACTACTGCCACCAAGCAGAGGGGGGGGGAAAGAAGGGGGTCTCCGCCGGCTATAGGGAGAAGGGGGGGCGGGAATTGGCGGGAGAAGCCTTGACATCACTTTGGGGTTGCCCCGTGGGAACAGGGGAGGGGGGATCCCCTTTTAAGTGAGTGGGGGGAACCCTTGCGGAAGTTAGCAGCCTGTTGCTGATCTAGGGGGGAAATGGGGACTTCCTGGCCCCACCAGTGTTGGAGGGTTATTGGGGCACCCCCACGGTAGCCAAATCCTCTCCCCCACCCCCTGCCAGTTTTGCAACTGGCCTTTCATCTCAGTTTTTGGGGTGTGTGTGTGGGGGGGTCCACCATTCCTCCCCCCAAGAGCCCCCCCCCCAAGTTTCCTAGCAGATGTTCCTGCAATGAGATGAGCAGGAGACAGGCCCGGGCAGCTGTGTCAGCAGGGCTCTGCTCTGACCCTGCTTTTAATTCGGATTAAAAGTTTCATTTGGTGTATGGTTTTTCGAATGAAGTGTTGGGAGGGAAAAGGGATGGATTCAGCCTGGAAGAATTTAGGATTTGAAATTGTCCAGGGCTGCAGAACGGCTTGACTTCAGATGTTGTGGGTGCTCCATCACTGGAGGTTTTTAAGAAGAGACTGGACAGCCATTTGTCTGAAATAGCATAGGGTTTCTTGCCTGAGCAGGGGGGTTGGACTAGAAGACCTCCAAAGGTCCCTTCCAGCTCTATTCTGATTGATTGATTGAGAAACATTGGTGTAGAATAAAAAGTCAAGTTGTGAGTGCTCCATCAACCTAGAACTAAGGAGAAATTTCCTGACAGTCAGAACAATTAACCAGTGGGACCGCTTGCCTCCAGAAGTTGTGGGTGCTCCATCACTGGAGTTTTTAAAGAAGAGACTGGATAGCCATTTGTCCAAAATGGCCTAGGGTCTCCTGCTTTGAGCAGGGGGTTGGACTAGAAGACCTCCAAAGGTCCCTTCAAGCTCTGTTATGATTGATTGAGATAGCAGGCCTGTGCAAAAGTTGCACTGCACCCCATGTCGTGCAACAAAGAGTGTGGCAGGAAGGGTCAGAAGTGGAGTGCAGGTAAGTCCTTGACTTACAACCGTTCGTTTAGTGACAGTTCAAAGTTGCAGGAGCTCGGAAACAAGAGACGACCGTTTTGCACACTTAAGACCGTTGCAGCCTCCCGGTGGTCATGTGATAAACATTCAGACGCTTGGCAACTGACCAGTATTTATGACAGTTGCAAGAAGACGGATTCGTTTTAACCAACGTGTTACTCATTTAACCATGGCCGTGATTCACTTAACGAGTGTGGTGAGAAATGGGGTAAAATTCACGGAACAGCAATGGAAATTGGGGGCTAAACATTTAGGCCATCGGCGATCTGCAGACGGTGTCCACGCGTCGGCTTTTGAGAGGTTCTTGGTGGGTGGAGTTAGGAAGGTGAGAATGTGGGTCCCAGAAAGTTTATTTATGTATGTGTTTGTTTGTGTGTTGCTGATTACTTTTACGAAAACTCAAGGTGGCAAACCTGCCCAGCACAACTTCCTCCTCTTGTTGCCCACAACAACGACCCTGTGAGGTGGGTTGGGCTGACAGACTGGGACTGGCCCAGGATCACCCAGCTGGCTTTCGTGGCTAAGGCGGGACTAGAACTCCCCATCTTCTGGTGATTGGCCCAAAGTCACCCAATGGTTTTCCATTCCTAAAGCGGGCCTAGAATACACCTTCTCCTCTGATTGGCCCAAAGTCACCCAATGGCCTTTCAGCCAGGAGACCAGCCTCCAACCAGGAGACCACGTGCTCTAGGGATGCCTCCCTCCAGCTCAGAAGGCACAAATTTATTTATTCGTGTTCTGCCATTATTATTTTTATAAGCAACTCGAGAGGGCAAACAGATCTAGCGTTGCTTTCTCCTCCTGTTTTTCCCATAACAACAACCTTGTGAGGTGGATTGGGCCGAGAGAGAGGGACTGTGGCTCAAAGTCACCCAGCCGGCTTTCATGACGGAGGCAGGACAAGAACTCATCGTCTCCTGGTGATTGACCCAAAATCACCCAGGTGGCTTTTGTGCTTAAGGCGGGACTAGAACTCACCGTCTCCTGGTGATTGGACCAAAGTCAGCTGGCTTTCATACCTGTGGCAGGACTAGAACTCACCATCTCCTGGTGATTGGCCCAGAGTCACCCAGCTGGCTTTCATGCCTAAGACGGGACTGGAACTCGCTGCCTCCTGGTGATTGGCCCCAAATCACCCAATTGTCTTTCATGCCTAAGGTGAGACTAGAACTCATCGCCTCCTGTGATTGGCCCAAAGCCACCCAGCCAGCTCTCATGTCTAAAGGCAGGACTTGAACTCAACATCTCTTGCTTTCTAGCCTGGTGCCTTAACTACTAGACCAGGGGTCTTCCAACTTGGCCCTTTGATGACTTGTGGACTTCAGCTCCCAGAATTCCTCAGCCTGGCTGAGGAATTCTGGGAGCTGAAGTCCACAAGTCATCAAAGGGCCAAGTTGGAAGATCCCTGCTTGTGGACTTCAACTCCCAGAATGCCTCAGCCAGGCACGCTGGCTGAGGAATTCTGGGAGTTGAAGTCTGCAAGTCATCAAAGGACCAAGTTGGAAGACCCCTACACTAGACCAAAATTGGCTCAAACATGGAAGTTGTTACCTTCCTGTTTTGAAACCAGGGTTTTGGGCACCGACATCCTGCCTTGCCTGGTTGTCATCTCCTTCCTCAGAAACTTAACGGCTGGGGTGATCAATATTAAACGTGATGATAATTAAACTGCGCTACAGAATGGAAACAGTGCAGCATCCCGGTCATCATGATTTCGCACAAACGGTGGCAAAACTGAACTTTGTACCTTAGACAGCTTCTCTCCAAAGGACACTTTGTTGTACAGGTAGTCCTCGACTCACCGACCGCAGCCGAGCCCAAAATTTCTCTGTTGTTAAGCGAGACGTTTGCGAAGGGAGCTCCCTTGTTACGACCTTTCTCGCCACACTGGTTTGAGTGAATCGCTGCACTCATTTAAGTTAATCCCACGGTTGATAAGTGAAGCTGGCTTCCCCCCATTAACTTCGCTTGTCGGTAAAGTCGCGAAACGTGACCGCGTGACCCCGGGTCGCCACAACCGTCATAAATAGGAGTCAGTTGCCAAACATCTGAATTTTGATCCAGTGCTGCAGCGGTCGTAAGTGTGAAAAACCCATCATACATCGCTTTTTAAAGTGCCGTAACTTCGAGGGCGGCTAAATGGACGAGTCTTAAGTTGAGGGCTACCCCGTGTTAGGGGTGAGATTTGAACACAGAACTTTAATACTTGATTACCTGGTTTGTGCAATTTTTGGCTGCTTAGATCAGGGCTTTTCAACCTTTTCACCCACTGTACCACTTTTAGGATATGGCAACATCCGAGTACCACCTAGCAAGGTGTCAAAAACTTGATGACCAAAAAAAAAAAAAGGAAAAAAAAGTAATGAAATACAGATAGTCCTCGACTTACAACAGTTCGCTTGGTGACTGTTCGAAGTTACAATGGCACTGAAAAAAGTCCCCCCAAGCCACAGCTGAGCAAGACACCTGCCTGCCCACCCAGCGGCGCTCTTCCTCCTGTCCGAGGTCTTCATTGTTGTGAGCATTTCTGTTGAGGATTGGCAGCGGGGGGGGGTGTTTGGTTTTTATTTCCCCCCCCCCCGTCTGCTGGGTGGTTGCAGCAGGTTTTGGTCACTTCACATGACCCTGGGACACTGGGACCGTCCTAAATATGAATCAGTTGCCAAGCATCTGAAGGTAAATCACAAGACCCTGGAGAGGCTGCAACATTCCAGCTGATCGGCGCGTTTTCTGGGCTCAGCAGAAGCGCCAGGATCAGTGCTGAGCTCCAGCTGGAGCCTGGCACTGATCCTGGCGCTTCCGCTGAGCCCTGACAGCCCTGCAGCTCCAGCCGTCTCTCACTCAGGCCTGTGCGGTGCTGCCACCGGTTCAGTTCATTCCCCTCCCCTGCTAGTGCTTTTCTAGGATGGTCGTGTACCACCTGCCAGTTGCCAATGTACCACAGGTGGTACCCGTACCACTGGTTGAAAAGCCCTGGCTTAGATAACACAGTTCTGCACCCCGTGTGCTAGAAATTGGGAGGGTTGCGTTCTAAAGGGACTGCGCTTCCATTGTAATTCGTTGTTACTCTTTTGGAAGTAAACTGATTTGGACTGTAAGGCAGCCTTGTACAGTGGCTAGAGCCTGCACCGAGGCAGGTGACTCTTGATTCTGTTCAGTCCTCCCCCCTGGGGCCAAATAACTATTTTCTTTTCCTCAGCATTTCCTGCCCCACGAAATTGTTGGGAAGTAAAATGACAGGAAGGGCTGCCTGCTTTTTAGCCCGTAGTTCTTTGAGGAAATCATAGAAACGTTAAGAAATAAATATATGCTTGCTTCAAGGAATCCGTGTGGATCAGGGAAGGTGGAGCTGCCGCAGGCAGTCCTCAACTTACGACCACAGTTGAGCCACAAATGTATGTCTCTAAATGAGAAATTTGTTAGTTTGGTTACAACTATGTTCGTGCCACATTTGTTCAGGGAATCCTGCAAGTTCTTAAATTAGTAAGTAAATCCGGCTTTCCCCATTGACTTTGCTCGTCAGAAGGTCAGTAAATCACATGATTCCCCCACCCCACCCCACCGTCATAAATGTGATTCAATTGTCAAGCGTCTGAATGTAAATCGTGCAACCACGGGGATGCCGCATCAGTGGGAAAAAGGGCCACACGTCACTTCTTCTGGTGCCGTCGTAACTTTGAGGGGTCGCTAAATGAACTGTCGTAAGTCGAGGAATGCCTGT